ACGCTTGGGTGTGTAGGGCGCGCCGCGGCGGTCGCTGCGGTGATCTCGATCGCGGGGGTCGCGAACGCGGAGCTTATCTACGGCGTGACAGATACACAGACGCTTGTGAGCTTTGACTCTGATGACACTTCGAATCTGCTGAGTGGTGTCGCGATTTCGGGATTGCAGAGCAACGAGCAGGTGCGCGGGATTGATATCCGTCCTTCGACGGGTCAGCTGTACGCGCTTGGGAGTTTCAACAATGTGTACACGATTGATGCGACGACTGGTATCGCGACGCAGGTGGGGAGCGGGCCGTTCGCTCCGCCTACGAATGGGTCGAGCTTTGGATTTGATTTCAATCCGGTGATTGATCGGATTCGTCTCGTCAGTGATGCGAACCAGAACTTGGTGCTCAATCCCAATGACGGGACGGCAACACAGGTAACCAACTTGTTCTTCGGCGCGGGTGATGTGAATGAGGGGCTCGATCCGAACATCGTGGGCTCGGCGTACACCAACAGCTTCGCTGGTGCAAGCTCGACGCAGTTGTACGGCATCGACACCGGTCTGGACATGCTCGTCACCCAAGCGAACAGTGCGGGCACACTGATGACGGTTGGCAGTGTTGGTGTGGATCTCAACGACACGCTGAGTTTCGACATCTCTGGCGCGACTGGTGTCGCGTTCGCGAGTGTTGTGAGTGATGATTTCTCGAGTTCGACTTTTTGGCGCATTGATCTGAGCACGGGTCTTGGTACAGCGCTGGGAGAGATCGGTGGTGGGGCGCTGATTACTTCGATGACTGTGGTCCCGGCCCCATCGTCGATGGCGATGCTCGGGCTGGCGGGTTTGGCGGGGGTGCGTCGACGCCGATGAGTCTCATATGTGGGGTATTCACAGTGTAGTGATGTGAAGAGAGATGCTTGCCTAGCCGGGTCTGTCCCCCTCGGTCTAGGCAAGCTCTTTTTCAATCTGAGGAGTATGAATCGGACTTTCGCGAGAATTTGGGGGGTTTGTGGTCGGAAAGGTGTATGAATTTGAGGGGATTTTTGTTAGAGTCGGGGTTCGTGACGCCGAGTCTGCAGGGGGCGGCGCGATCGTGGAGGAGTAGACGAATGAGATGCACGAATGGAATGGTTTCGGGGTTGGCTCTGATGGCGCTTTCAGGTGTTGCTTTAGGCGGGCCGATAACCTTTGTTGAGCAGACTGGAGCTGTAGGGCTGAGTCACACGCACGCGACGACTGGATTTGGTCCTGATATGGAGTTCATGGCGAGCGGCGGCGCGGTCGGGGACTTCGATCGTGACGGCGACCAAGACCTCTTCGTGATTGGTGGATCTGGTGGGGTCGATCTTCTCTATTGGAATGACGGCAACGGGAACTTCACTGAGGGAGGAGCCGCGGCTGGGGTTGATCGGGCGCATCGTGGGGTTGGTGCTTCGGTGGGTGACTACGACAATGACGGGGATCTGGATATTTATGTGACTTCCAGCGGCACGGTCGCGAGTTCAGCAGGGAACCAGAATGTTCTGTACCGGAACAACGGGAACGGGACATTCACCAATGTCACCGCGGCTGCTGGGGTGGCGATGAACAACACCTTCACGGGTGACGCGTTCTCGTCGGCGTGGGGTGATTATGACCTCGATGGCGATCTCGATCTTGCTGTGGCCGGCTGGCTCGGTGGGAATCAGTTGTTCCGCAACAACGGCGATGGGACCTTTGCGAATGTGACGCTCAGCGCGATCCAGAGTGATCTTTCGACGGTGCGTGGTTTCGCGCCCAAGTTCGTTGACATGGACGGAGATCTGTATCCAGAGATCCTGTGGGTCGCAGACTTCTTTACTTCACGGTACCTCGTCAATAACGGCGATGGGACCTTTACTGATCAGACGGTGAGCTCGGGGACTGGTCTGGATTCCAACGGCATGGGGAATACCTTTGGTGATCTCGATAATGATGGGATGATCGACTGGTATGTGACGAGCCGAATCAATACGGATGGCTCCAGCGGATCAGGCAATATGTTCTATCGCGCGACTGGAGTGGATCATGTCTATGACGAGGTCTCAGTCGCGACGGGCTGTAACTATGGATACTGGGGTTGGGGATCGACAGCGATCGATTTCGATCAGGATGGCTGGCTCGATATCATCGCGACCAACGGATTCACAGGAACATTTGAGATGGATCCGACGGTGCTGTTTATCAATGACGGCACGGGGAACTTCACTGAGAGTGCTCTGGCGAGCGGTATCAGTGATCGTGGACAGGGGCGCGGATTGCTCAATGTCGATCTGGAGAATGATGGCGATCAGGATGTGCTGATCTTCAACAACCGTCAATCGATGGTCTGTTTACGGAACGACTCGGCGGGCGGCTCATCTATCACGCTTGAGTTCGATACGAACGGCGTTGATGATCTTGCTCCAGACGGGATCGGGGTCCATGTGGAGTTGACTGCGGGAGGCATGACGCAGGTACGCTACCTGAGCGCCGGATCGAACTATCTGGCGCAGTCCGAGCTGACTGTCCACTTCGGGATGGGCGCGGAGACTGAGGGGGATCTGCTGATTACCTATCCCAATGGGATGACGGAGACGCTTGTTGGGGTCGCTCCTGGTCGTTACAAGATCACGGCGAAGGAATGTGCCGCGGACTTTTCGGTGACTGGATCGTTGAACTTCCTGGATGTGTCCGAGTATTTGTCGCTGTTCAGTCAGCAGCATCCGCAGGCGGATATGACCAACGACGGATCGTTCAACTTCCTCGATATCTCGGCGTTTTTGGCGGCCTATGGGTCAGGTTGCAACTGAGAAATCGCTGTATCGTTGAGGATGTATGAAGAAAGAGCCGCGAACTCTTGGGGGTCGCGGCTCTTGCTTTGAGAAGGACTGGGTTGTTACGCGGCGCGTTGAGAGCTCTGGTTGATCAGGTGATTGAGATTCGCGGGATCGTGTCCTTGCGCGATGAGCTCGAGCAGTTGGTTTGCGTCTGCGGCGGGGAAATGGGATTCGATCGAAGATGCGGCAGAGACTGGAGGAAGCGGTTGGGTCGCTTCGGACTCTTGGAGCGAGGTTGGATTGTTGTGTATTGAAGAATCCATGCGTGACTGATCGGTCATCGCGCGGATTGAGTTGAGTGATTGGGTCGATGCGTCATTCAAAAACCTATAAAGTTTGATGACGCGGCGAGGGCTTTGCAGTTGAGCTGTTTGTTATGGGGAAGTCCAGATTCCTGAGCCTGGCTTGTAGGGTGTGACCCCTTCGTTGGCGCGGGCTCTGTTCTCGTCGCTGAGCAGGTCGGGGTCGGAGTGCCAATGCACTTTGGCTTGTCCCAGGAGGGTCCCGGTCGCGACGGCGAGGTCGATCTGGGCGATCTGGTAATCCACAATCGCTCGGATCTCGGCAAGACGAGCATTTGCGAGGTTGGCGTCGGCGTCGAGGACGTCGGTGGAGGTAGAGCGTCCGACATCGAACTGGCGGGACTCGGCTTCGAGCAATCGAGCGTTGAGCAGGACGGATTCGCGGGACGCGAGGATGCGGTGCCAGGTGCTTTGGAGGTTATCCACGGCGTTGAGGACCTCGGTCGTTATGGATTGGATTCGCGCTTCTTTGGAGTTCAGAGATTGAAGGCGAGCGAGGATCGCCTGTGCGAGCGAGGCTTTGGCGGCTTCGTTTCCAAGTGGGAACTCGGCGTTGAGTCCGACGGACCAGTCTTCGAACTCGTTTTGAGCGAGCATGTCGTAGGAGTTTCCGAGCGATCCGGCGAGGCCGTTGACTCGGTAGGTGTAGTTGAGGGCGACCAGCGGGAGTTTCTGGTTCTCGGCGAACGCGATGGACGCGGCGTTGCGGACGAGCTGGATCTCGAGCTCGAGCATCTCCATGCGGTTGTGGATTGCTGAGTCTGTGAGTTGGTCAAGATCGTAGAGGTACTCGACTGGATCGGGGGCTGATTCTGTGAGCACACGCGTCGAGGTGCTGACATCGAGTCCCGGCATGTTGACGAGTTGCTTGAGCGTTCGTTGGCGGAGCTTGACATCATTCTGCGCGAGAATGATCGCTTCGACGCGATCGGCGACTCCTGATTGGGAGCGGACGACATCGACCTCGGTCCCAGTCCCGGCTCGGCGTTTGCGCTGTGCGGATTCGAGTTGATTGAGCGCGACGGTGTGCTGCTGCTCGACGACCTCGAGCGCTTTGGTGGATGCGTAGAGGCGCCAGTAGGCGCGATCGACATCGGCGAGCACGCGGATGACTTCGAGTTTAGTTTGCGCGAGGGAGGATTGGTGATCAAGATCCGCGAGTCTCAGTGCGTGGGTTGTGGCGCGTCGCCCGGCTCCGCGGAGGAGGTTGTGGGAGAAGGAGATTTCCAGATCGGAGGTCCACGCGGGATTGAGTGTGGAGAAGGTGTTGTTGGTGGAGAAGCGGTTGATGGGCGCGGAGACGGTGATGTTCCCACCGGTCATGAGCGGGATGCGGATACCTGGGACGAATGATTGGTTGCGTGACTGAGATCCCACAAGAGTTGAGGAGGTCGGCGCGTCGGTCTCGGCCCACGATGCGGCGAGTGTGAATACAGACTCGAACGCGGCGCGTTCGCGATTGACATTCTGCTCTGCGATTTCGGGAGCGATGAGCGAAGCGCTGAGGCCGAGGTTGTTGGAGAGGGCGGCGGCGCGGGCGTCCTCGAGCGAAAGGTCGATCTGCTCGACATTGGAGTAGTCGGCTTGTGCTTTTTGGAGCTGAGATTCGGAGGTTTGGTTTTCGTTGGATGGCGCACGCTCGAGATTGAAGACAGCGATGTTGTGCAAACGATCCTTGTTTGCGACAGTTACAGTGTCGAGCGGTCCTTCGGCGAAGGGGTTGGACATGCACCCACTGAGCATACTGAGTGTGGGGATCGCGGTGATCGCTGACGCGAGGAGGAGCGAGCGGACGGATGGCGAGGTGTGTGCGTTGGTCATGTTTGCTTCTGTGCGTGTGTACTGACTTTGGGGTGCGTGACGGGTTGTGCGTTTATTCGTGGCGGAGCGCATCAATCGGGTTGAGTCGTGATGCTTTGATGGCGGGTCCCATTCCGAAGACCACACCAACGAGTGCGGAGAACCCGATCGCGAGGACGATGGCGAACTTGGATATTTCGGTGTGCTCGAGCGCGGAGAGTTGTGGGAGGTTGGCCATGACGGCGACGGTCACGATCGCGAGGACGAGTCCTACGAGACCACCCACAATACAGAGCACGACGGCTTCGACGAGGAACTGACAGAGCACGATCGGGGGCTTGGCGCCCATCGCTTTTCGGAGTCCGATCTCTCGTGTGCGTTCGGAGACGGAGACGAGCATGATGTTCATGATCCCGATGCCTCCGACGACGAGGGAGATCCCGACGACAGATCCGGCGATGATGCCGATTACTCCGGCGACGGCGTTGAACTGCTGGATTTCGTCTTGGAGCACGAACATACCGAAGGTGTCTTCGTCCTCAGGTTGGAGGTCGCGGTGGTTTCGGAGGATGAATCGGATCTCGGCTTGCGCGTCTTCGGATGCGTCGGGGGAGACCATCTGGACCATGAAGTTGGTCCAGGTATAGGGGTTCATCATTTTGTGTGTTGCAAATGGAATGAAGAGTTCGGTTCGGGCTTGTCCGCCTCCGAATCCTCCGGCGTCTTTGGTTTCGACGACTCCGATGATCAGGAAGCGTCGTCCTGAGATGAGGATGTAATCACCTGTTGGATCGGTGTCGAGTCCGAGTTCTTCGATGCCTTGATCGTTGATGAGGCAGACTTGTCGGCGTTCGGAATCATCGATGCGCGAGAATGGGCGTCCGAAGAGGACTTGTCGGTCTTCGATGCCGTGCCATTCGGGCCAGATCCCGGTGACTCGGACTGAGGGGAGTCGTTTTTGTTCCGCGGTGACGGGCCAGGAGTTGTTGCAGATCGGGGTAAGTTCTTCGATGGATGGTGCTTTGTCGAGGAGGAGGTTGGCTTCGTAGACCGAGAGCTTGACATCGGTCCACGACATGACGGCTCGTTTGTTGTCTGGGACTTCACCCCAGACCCACATTTTGCGAGCGCCGAATTTTTCGAACTCAGCGAGGACGAATCCGCGCATGCCGTTGAGACCGGACATGACGGAGATGACGGCCCAGACGCCGATGATGATGCCGAGCGCGGTGAGCATGGAGCGGGTTTTGTTTGCCCAGACCTGCGCGAGCGCGAGGAAGACGGTTTGCCAGAGGAAGCGGACGATGAGTGCGATGGGCGAGAGGATGATGGTCATGACTTGGCCTCGCTTTCGATCTCACTTGGGCTTTCGATCCCACTGGATTTGTTCGATTTGAACAGGCGCTTGCGTGGTTTGGATTTCGCTTCCTCGATGAGTGCTTGTTCGCGTTTTTGGTCGGCGATGTGGTTGAGTTCGCGTTCGGCTTGGGTGACCTCGGCGAGAGAACCACGGCCGGATGCCATGCGGTCGACCCAGTCTTGGTGGATCGGATCGGACTCGGTTGGGTGATCGGAGATGATGCGTCCATCGCGCAGACGCACGATGCGATCGGCGTGTCCGGCGACATCTTCTTCGTGGGTCACGACGATGATTGTTTGTCCGGCGTTGTGGAGTTCTTTGAACAGCTCGATGATCTCGACTGTTGTTTTGGAATCGAGGTTTCCGGTAGGTTCGTCGGCAAGGAGGATCGATGGATCATTGACGAGGGCGCGAGCGATCGCGACGCGCTGGCGCTGACCACCTGAGAGTTGGTTGGGTCGGTGGGTCATGCGGTCGTCGAGGGAAACGCGTTTGAGTGCGTTCTTGGCGCGTTTCCTGGCGCTGAAGATGTGGCGCGAGGAGTAGAGCATCGGAAGCATGACATTGCGGAGTGCTGAGGCACGATTCAGGAGTTCGAAGGTTTGAAAGATGAATCCGATTTCTTCGTTGCGGACGCGGGCTAGCGCGGACATGCCGAGCTTGTGGGTGGGTTTGTTGTTGAGGACATACGCCCCGTTGGTTGGTTTGTCGAGACATCCGAGGATGTTCATGAGCGTGGACTTCCCTGATCCGGAGGCGCCCATGATTGCGACGAACTCGTTGTTATGGATGTCGAGGTCTACGCCGTCGAGTGCGCGGACGACTTCTTCACCAACTTTGTAGTACTTTTTGAGCCGACGGATCTGGATGACCGGGCGGTTTGGGTTGGTGTCCTTGGGCTTTCTCACGAATCATCCCCACCCTCGGCAACCTCTTGGTTTTCTGAATCCGTTGTATCTTCGGATTGGTCGTCATCAGATTCGGAATCTTCACTGTTGTTGTCTGAGTCTGGGCTGTCCGCGTCAACTTCTTCCGTCTCGGCGTTCATGTCGCGGACATTCATGTCGTGGCGGAGTGTGACGAGGACGCGGTATGGACCGACGATAATCTGGTCGCCTTCTTCAAGTCCTTCGGTCACGACGGAGCTGGTGAGGTCCGAGGCGCCGACGATGACTGGGGTCGCGATTGCTTTGCCGTCCACGACTTTGTAGACGACGCGGGCGAAGGTCTTGTTGGGGTCGATCTGCTCGTTACCTTCAACGACATCTTGCGGGAGATCTTCGATGCGTCGATCGAGCACGGCTTGGGATGGGACGAGGATCGCGTCATAGAAGTGCTCGACGGCGATGTCGGTGGATGCGGTGAGTCCGGTGTAGAGGGTTTCGCCTTCTTCGAGATCGATGGGGATCTCGACTTCGAAGGTTCCGGTGCCGTCGGAAGCGACTTGACGCTTGCGCGCGATGTTGGATACAGTTCCGGTGTAGGTACGATCGGTGTACGCGTTGATGTAGATCGTGGTGTCTTGTCCGACTTCGACTGGCGCGATGTTCGCTTCGTCCACGGCGGCTTTGAGGAGCATCTCGGAGAGGTCCGCGATCTCCATGATGACGGAACCTGGGTTGTTGGTGGTTCCGACGATGACGGTTTCTCCGACTTCAGTTGAGAGGGAGATCACGAGGCCGGTGATCGACGAGGTGATGTTGGTGTTTTCGAGGTCTTTCTCGGCTTGTTCGATTCGTGCCTTGGCTTGGTCGATGGATGCTTCGATTACGGCTTTGTTGGACTGCGCGTTGAGGAACTGTGCTTCGGCGCCGTCGAGTTCGGCTTTGGTTGCGTCTCCGGTCTCGTGGAGCGATTGCAGTCGCTCGAACTGGAGGCGTGCGTTGATAAGTGATGCTTCGGCGCCGAGGAGCGAGGCTTCTTGTTGTTTGAGTCCTGCTTTGGCACTGTCGAGCGCGGCGACGAGGTTCTGGGGGTCGAGTCGGACGACGACATCGCCTTCTTGGACAAGATCACCTTCGCGGAATGGGAGCGCAAGGACCTTTGCGGAGACTTGCGAGGAGATTTTGACAAGGGTGCGTGGTTCAATCGAGCCGGGCGCGGAGACGGTTCGTTGGAGGTCTCCGAGCGAGGCGGCTTCGATGCGGACTGGGGTTCCGATCGGCTCCATGCTGTTGGACTGTCCAGTGAACTGCTGTCCGATCGGTGATTTGAGGACCATGAAGCCGACGGCTCCGATGATGCCAACGCCGACGACTGTGATACCGATGATCTTTCCGAAACCCATGAAACGACCCCTGCGAGTTGATTGGGAGGTGATAGTGCGGTTGGTTTTATGGGGATCCGGAGGTGGAAGTTTCGTATCAAACGCGGAAATTGGTCAAGAAAACGCAATTCTATCAGGACACTCGCCGCGATTGCGCGGCGAGCGGAACGAGTGGTTTGATTGAAAGATCCGATCAGAGCCCGAGTTTCTCGGCGAGGTAGTCTCCGACCTTGTCGATCGCGACGCGTTCCTGGTCGAGCGTGTCGCGATGGCGCACGGTGACGGTGTTGTCCTCGAGTGTGTCGCTATCGATGGTGAAGCAGAATGGGCATCCGGCTTCGTCCATGCGTGCGTAGCGCTTTCCGATGGATTGTTTTTCGTCGTACTCGATGGTGCCGAGGTGTCCGAATCGTTTGCGGAGTTCTTTGTAGAGCGGCTGGGCGATTTCGGGCATGCCGTCTTTCTTGACGAGCGGGAAGACGGCGGCTTTGATGGGCGCGAGTCTTGGGTGGAACTTCATGTAGACCCCTGACGCGCGGTCGGGGTCCGGCGTGTAGGCTTCGCAGAGGATCGCGAGGACACCGCGGTCCAATCCAGCGGAGGGTTCGATGACATGCGGGAGGTAGCGTTCACCCTTGGGTTGGCCGTTCTTTGCGAGCTCGCCTCGCGTGTTGTCGAAGTATTCGAGTTTGGTTTTGGAGTGCTGTGCGTGCTGGGCGAGGTCGAAGTTGGTTCGGTCGGCGATGCCTTCGAGTTCTCCGAATCCTGGCGCGGTGAAGGGGAAGCGGTACTCGATGTCGGAGGTTCCCGCGCCTTCTTTGGCGTAGTGGGCGAGTTCGTCCTTGTCGTGCTCGCGGAGGATGAGGTTGTCTCCTTCGAGTCCGAGGTCTTGCCACCACTGCATGCGCCAGTCGCGCCAGAATGTGTACCACGCTTTGCTGTCGTCGGGATGGCAGAAGAACTCGATCTCCATCTGCTCGAACTCGCGTGAGCGGAAGGTGAAGTTTCTTGGGGTGACCTCGTTGCGGAACGCTTTGCCTGTTTGGGCGATCCCGAAGGGGAGGGCGACGCGGGTGGTGTCAACGACGTTTTTGAAGTTGACGAAGATGCCTTGGGCGGTTTCGGGGCGGAGGTAGGCGGCGTTGTCTTCCATGTTCCCGGTCGCGCCGAGGACGGTTTTGAACATGAGGTTGAAGGCGCGGGGTTCGGTGAGGGTGCCGACTTCTTTGGCGTCTGGTCCGACGGTGATCGCGATTTCGTCGGCGCTCAGGTCTGTGAAGGGGCAGAGATCGATGTTGTCTTTATCGATGTCTTTCTTTTTGTACTTGCTGAGTTTTTTGAGCGCGGATTCGAAGGACTTGTCGTCGTTTTCGATGAACGCGTAGATCTGTCCGGACGAGTCGCCCTTTTCTCCCATGCACATGATGTGATCGGCGCGGTAGCGGGATTTGGTTTCGCGGCAGTCGACCATGGGGTCATTGAATCCACCGACGTGTCCGGATGCTTCCCAGACCTTTGGGTTCTGGATGATGGAGCTGTCTAAGGGGACGATCTCGACGGGGTTGCCGTCGGGTCCGTTTTGTCCGTTGCATCCGAGCATAACGACATCGGTCCACCACGCGTCGCGGAGGTTTTTCTTGAGTTGAGCGCCGAGGGGGCCGTAGTCCCAGAAGCCGTTGACTCCGCCGTAGATTTCGGAGGCTTGGTAGATGAACCCTCGGCGTTTGCAGAGGGCCATGATGTCGTCCATGGACTTGACGGAAGATTCGGTTTGCTCGGCGTTTGCGGTCATTTCCTGTTCCCTTTGGGTTGAGCGGAAGTGTAGGGGAGGTATTGGGATTGGGGTCGGGGTTGCGGATCATTGTCAGATCGGGGACACTGGCTGAATGTCACAAGAATCTGTATCGAATCCGTCTGATCCACAGTCATCCGGCACCACGAAGGTGGGCATCCTCGGCAAGGCGCTCAACGGCGTTGAGTGGCTGGGGAACAAGCTCCCCGATCCCGCTTTCCTGTTCCTGATCGGGCTGGTGTTTGTGCTGCTGGCGAGTCATCTTGCGGCTCCGTCGCTTCCCGATGGGTTCGAGGTCCGCTGGCATGTTGATGTGGCGAACGGCGGGGTGGACGAGCGCGTGGGGGTGATCGGGCGCGTGAGCGAGGGGGAGGACGGCGAGGTCTTTGAGGCGGCGAGTATCGTCGTGGACAATGACGATCCGGCGAATCTGAGCGCTCGGCTGGTGATCGATGCGACGGGGGAGACGGTGCTGGGTGAGGATGGCTCTCCGATGAATGTCGCGGAGCACGGGTGGGCGGTGTTTGAGAAGGTGCCTGTCGATACGGATGATGATCCGGAGACTCCACCTGAGCTGGTGTCCAATGGGCGCGTGATGTTCGCGCGATCGCTTTTGACAAGCGAGGGTATTTACTGGTTGCTCGCGAGCATGGAAGCGAACTTCCTTGGGTTTGCGCCGCTGGGGGTGGTGCTGCTTGGGATGCTGGGGATTGGTCCGATGGAGCGGGTTGGGTTGATCTCGGCGCTCTTGCGTGCGGCTTTGTCGCGCGTGCCTGGGATGTTGTTGACGCCTGCGATGATTTTCTTGGGGATTATGAGTTCGCTGGGTTCGGACGCGGGGTATGTGGTGCTTCCGCCGCTGGCGGCGCTGGCGTATTTGGCGGTGGGGCGCTCGCCGCTCGCTGGGATCGCGGCGGTGTTCGCGGGGGTCGCGGCGGGGTTTAATGCGAATCTGTTGATTACGAGTCTTGAGCCTTTGATGAGCAACCTGTCGCAGGGGGCGGCGCAGACGATTGATGCGGATCGCGCGGTCGCGGCGACGGCGGCGTGGTATTTCATGGCGGCGTCGACGATCGTGCTGACCTTTGTTGGTTGGGCGACGACGGCGGTGTTTGTTGAGAAGCGACTCGCCGCGAAGTCTCCGGAGGATGGTGGTCCTGATCCTGAGCACGCATCGACGCTGGGGGGACACGGGAAACTCAAGCCAGACGAGTTCAAGGGACTGATCTGGGCGGGTGTGACCTTCGCGATCGGGCTTGCGTTCACAGCGCTGCTGGTGTTCTGGAAGGGGTCGCCGTTGTATGGGACTGATGGTCCTTTCCCGCGTTGGGTGGCGGTGATTGTGCCTTTGATGTTTGTGCTGACGATCTTGCCGGCGTGTGTGTACGGCGCGGTTGTGGGGAATATCAAATCGACCAAGGACGCGGCGAAAACGATGGTGGAGTCTATGGCGGGGATGGCGCCGATCATTGTGCTCGCGTTCTTTGCGGGTCAGTTTGTCGCGGCGTTCGATGAATCTGGTCTGGGACGGATGCTCGCGTTCTCTGGGGGTGAGTGGTTGTTCAATCAGCAGTTCGGCGCGGGGTCGCTGCTCATCGCGTTTATTCTTGTGACGATGGTGTTTAACTTGTTTGTTGGATCGATGAGCGCGAAGTACGCGTTGTTTGCGCCGATCTTTGTCCCGATGTTTATGCTGATCGGGATCCGTCCGGAGATGACGCAGACGGCGTATCGGATCGGGGATTCGACGACGAACATCATTACGCCGTTGAATCCGTACTTGGTGATTGTGTTGATGTATGTGCAGAAGTACGCGCCCAAGGCGGGGATCGGGACGCTTATTGCGATGATGCTGCCGTATACGATTGCGTTTACGCTGGTGTGGATGGCGATGATCGTGATCTGGAACGCGACGGGTATTCCGCTTGGTGTTGGTGATCCGGTCGATGTCTTTAGCGAGGGTTACGGTATTGTGGCGCCCTGATCGGTAAGGGTTATCGATGGAGTGAATGACATGGGTGAGAAGAACGAGCATGCGATCCGGGTGGAATCGTTGATTGGACAGTTACTCGCGACTGTTCGTGAGCCTTGGGAGTCTTTGCGACAGGCGCTTGATAAACACGCATGGATGGAGATGGGGGACATTGACGAGGAGGGGAGTGGTGCGTGGCACCTGATGCATATCTCGGAGGTGTTCCGGATCCACGCGAAAGCGGCGATGGGGGAGTGGGGGAAGGAAGTGGAGGATTGGCCGAGCATCGAGCGGAGTGTTGCGGGGGCTGGGAGGATGATCCGCGAGGATGTCGAGCGGTTCAGCGCGTGGTGCATCGAGCATCCGGAGCGCTGCGGGCGCGTGACGCATGGGGAGGAGATGTTCTTCGATGAGATGATCGGGGTGATGCTGCGCCACATTGTTTGGCACGCGGCGGCGGTGCACTATTGGTGCATCTGGAAGAAGTGAGTTATTCAGTCGGTGAAGACCGAAGCGAACACATCGCGCCAGGTGACTTTGTCGAGCCGCTCGTTGACCTCGGATTGGATTTCTTCGTAGGCCTTTACAGTCGGGGGCGGGGAGAGGTTGATGATCTGGTCATCAGGGACTTTGGTTAGCGCCAGCGCGCCGTCTCCGGCGGCGTTGACGATCCAGCGTCCTTCGTCGAGCTGTCTATACACGGCTTGTCCGACGAGCGCGCCATAAGAATCCCAATCGACGTTGGCGAGCTTTGGATTGATGACAGTCGCTTGTGAAGGCGGGGTGTCGGCGTCGAAGACGCGGCGGATCCAGAGGCGTCCCGCGATGAGCGCGAAGTCGACGTAGATCTCTTTGTCCGCGTTGCAGGGGGTTTGGATGGTTTCTTGTTCGCCTTCGATGGTGCGGATTTGGACTGTGATCTTGCGGTCTTTGACGACGAGTTCGGTGATTGCGGTCTGGCGCACGGCGGTGTTGTAGTGGGAGCGGAGGGTTTCGTACTCACTCGAGAGATCGACGAGGCGGTCTTTATATACAGCCGTGGTTGCTTCGGCTTTGGCGACCTTCATCCCGACAAATCCGACCGCGCCGACGGCGGCGAGGATCGCGAGGGAGGTGATGGTGGTTTGGATGGCGCCGAGTTTGGACATACACCATTGCTATCGGCGCTGAAGGGGGATCGGCTGGAATTGTCGGTTATCCGGTGTATTTGGTGAGGCAGACGCAGTCGTTCTGACCTCCGAATCCAAAGGAGTTGGA